GGTGTTAATCTAGACAAATACCTTTTAACTCTGTAAATAGGAGCAGAGGTATTTGCCTTTTGGTGTTTGCAAAAGCCTCTATGATACATCAGGCTCTTTGTCATCTGCCCATGGTACCATTTAGCTGCTGGTAAAGCATTCCAATGCGCTGAACTGCCCACATTACACTCATTTGGGAGGTGGAGCCTCCAGGAGGAAGATAAGATTATGCCCAAAGAAAGCACCCTTGACTGGGACTGTGGTGACCAATTTTTGTATCTCCATTGTGCACAGACTAGAAAATATGTGGTGTGTCTTGTTATGAATTTTAAAAATACTGGACCTTACTTAATCAATTCATAGTCTTAATGGACAATGGGATATCCTCTCTCCTCCTCCTTCTCCTTCCTCTTCCCTCCCCCACTCCCTTTCTTTTCTTACTTCCTGAGACAAGATCATCAAGATGTCTCAGGAAACCATGATATACAAGGAAAAGACTAGTAAGAAAAACAAAATGCCCAGACAAAGCAATATTGAATGAAAAATTTAAAATATACAATTGAGTTCATTTTTGTATGGTTAATATACCCAATGAGACTCTATGGGAGAGAAGTTTTTCCCTTCCAAGTATAGACAGCTTCTTGGTTAGGGGTGGGAGTCCATGTCCCCTTCCCCCTCTCAGCAGTGGGACCCTGTATGACCTGAATCTGTGCAGGCCATGTCTGCTGCCACAGTCTCTGTGAATTCATATGTGCATCAGTCTTGTGTTTGGAAGATACAGTTCCCTTGGGGTCATTTATCACCTCTGGTTCTTAATCAGCCTTTCTGCCTCTTCTTCACATAGCTCCCTGAGCCCCAAGGGGACTAGATTGATGAAGACATTGCATTTAGGATTGAGTATTCCACAATTTTTCACTCTCTGCACATTGCCCAATTTTGTGCCTCTGTGTTAGCTCCAATCTACTGCAAGGAAACTTCTCTAATGGTGCTTGAGCTAGGCATGGATATATGGGAATAGCAGAATGTCACTGAGTCACTTTATTGCTACATTCCTTTAACAGAATAATATTTGGTTTTCCTATAATCCTATGGCCTAACCAGTCCCAGGTTCTTGGCCACCAGAGCAGTGTTGGTGTGGGTTCCATCTTATGGAGTTGGCCTTAAATCCCACCAGATGGAGGTTGGTTATGCCCATGTTTGTGCCATTATTGCACCAGCATATTGTGCAGGTAGGTCACCTCTGTGGATTGAAGCACTTGTAACTGGGTTGACCGTTATGTTCCTCCTCTTGTAGCATGCAGAGTACCTTCCATTACCATGGGCACTAATCAGTAGTGATGAAGACTCTAGGCACCACCAGGACTTTTCCAAGTTCTATGAAATATGTAAAATGTTGTCTTCAGCAATAGAACCTTTTCATCAGTTTGTGGAAAGCAACCAATATCCTTGGCAATAGCTTGGGATTTGGAGGGTTTCCATGGGACCCTTTAGGCCAATGACTCAACTAGATATTACTCATTCTTGGCACTGGAGATTTCATGTGGTGGCAAAAGATGTCTACTTAAGGGTTTGTCTTCCTCATTATTTGGTGATTCTATCTAGGTTTCTTTCATTTATGTATATATTTTAAGAAGCTTCTGAGTAGTAGGTTTCCAAATGACGCTCAAATGGCCCTTTGTGTTATTTGTTTCTCTTTGTATTCCCCCTTACTCTTGTCTTCTCTCCCTCACCTGTTTAATTCTCCAGCTCCATTCTCTCCCTATCTCTCTATAACTATCTATTCTATTTTCCCTTCTCCCCACTCCTTTACTCTATGCCCAACCTCTGTGGTTATATGGCTTGTACATATAACGTTAAAAGCTAACACCCACATGTAAGTGAAAAATACAGTATTTGTGTTTTTGTGTCTGAGTTACTCAGGATTTTTTTTCTGTAGCTCTATTCATTTGCCTTCAAACTTCTCTTTTTTCCCTTTTGGTTTTCTTCAAGACAGGATTTATTTCTCTTTGTACCCTGGCTATCTGTAGACCAGGCTGACCTCCAACTCAGAGATTTACCTGCTGCTGCCCCCTAAGTGCTGGGATTCAAGGTGTGCACCACCATGCCTGGATGCCAATTTCATTTTTTAAACAGCTGAATAATATTCTATTGTATAGATATACCACATTTCACTATCCATTCATCTGTTAATAGACATATAGGTTGTTTCCAATTTCTAGCTATTATGAATAGGGCAGCAATGAAAATGGATGAGCAGGTATCTCTTTTGTGGGATGTAGAGTCCTTTGGGTAGCACCCAAGAATGGGTAGAGCTGGATCTCGAGGTAGATCTATTTCCATTTTCCTGAGGAACTGTCAACCCCTTATTTTTAAATTTTGTTTATAGTTAATGTATGTGTGTGTGTGCATATGTATAATATATGTGGGCACATGTGCCTGGACCTGTGACAAAGCAGGAAACACCTAGGAGGATCGAAGGACAAGGGATACAAAAAAGGATGGCAGCAAGACAGTATTCTGATCAAGCTGCCAAGTTTTACTTTTTTTAAGGGGAGGCTTATATAGGACCATGGGCAGGATGTGAGTAGGAGTTTGCAAGTGGGCAGGATGAAAGGGTCAGTAGAAGGAATGCCCTGAACTAATCTTTTTTTTATTATTTTATTTAATTTTATATAACAAAGTCCAATTAAATGAAAACAAACATTTATACACAATATTTGGGAATTTGGGCATCATTCTTCCCAAACTACTTCCTGCTGGTAAGGGGCGCTGTCATGGGGGATTCGAAGAAGATTCAGATATCCTGGCTGTAGTCTGTAGGGCTGTTTTGTCCAGCTGTTTTGAATGTAGGATCACCTTGTACTCTGTTTCAGGCGGTCTGGCATGATCAAACAACATTAGTCTGGAAGGAATCCTCATCTTTTCATTTTCTGTGGAAACAAAAATAGAAATCCTTTTCCCCAGTAACTTGTCCATCAACTTAAATTTTGGAGTCAAAGCATTTTTTTTAATTTAATTTATTATTTTACATGTCCATCCCAGTTCCCTCTCCCTCCCTCCCTCCCTCCCTCCCTCCCTCCCTCCCTCCCTCCCTCCCTCCCTCCCCCATCCCTCCTTCCCTCCTTCCCTCCTTTTTACCCTCTCTGCCCTCTTGCATGCACTCTAAACACCCTCCCCTCCCATCCCCCACCCCAATTCCATATGTAGGGAATGCCATCCAGTTGGGGTCATGTAGATCTGACAGGTCCTGTGAAGTAGGGACTAGGGCTTCTCTCCTGTCTCTAGATTAAGGCAGTTATCCCTCCATGGGGGATATCCTGAACTAATCTTTAACTGGCTGTAAAACTGTAGCAGGAAGAATATCCTGAGCGATTCTTTATCTGGCTGTAAAACTACAACAGGAAGACTATCCTGAGCTAGTCTTTAACTGGTTGTAAAACCACAAGCCTGTATCTAGGAATGCTCTGCTAAACATTCTGCTTTTTCTTAAGAGGCAGTAATTTTCTATCTCATAGGCCTGAGATAGTGAGGAAGGTGATGGTCCCCAACATACATGTGCCATAGTGTGCTTGCAGAGGCCAGAGGACAACTGTCAGAAGTTAGTTGTCTTTTTTCTACAATGATTCAAATGATCATGAGGCATACTTGGCAACTGCTTTTACCCAGCTCACTGGCTCTGTTTACTTATTTCTAATTGGCAAATAGATGGGATATTTATGGGATACAATGGTGGTTTGATATGTGCATACCCTGTGGAAAGATTCAGTCTAGCTAATTAACATATTAGCATCTCACTGACTTACCATTGGAGTCCCTATTTCAGTAGGAGCCCCAGGTCTCCTAATTCATATACTGGATACAAGGTATTTTTCTGCTTTATAAAAGTTTTATCTCAAAATTTCACCTGGGTTTCAAGGTTTAATTAAGAAATAAAAGCAATGGATATTTTTCATAAAGTAATTGTATGAACTTGTGTTTCTAAATATATTTTCCCATTTTAAATGGAGAATTTCATGCATGAATATAATGTGTTTTGATCAAATTTACCCTCCCAATTCCCTTCTCTCCAAGTCCTTTCTCATGCTCCATCTACATCTCCTCCCAACTTTATTTGTTCTCTCTCTTAAAAAACAAAAAAACAAACAAACCATGAAGTCCACTTAGTGATCCTACACATGAATGTGGGTAGGAATAGCTATTGGGAGTATGCATAGCCTCTCAGGGCAGAAGAAAACAGATTCTCTTTCTCCTACCACCTGTCAATTGCTAATAGCTCCTCATCTAGGGTTGCAACTTCCTGAGCCCCTCCCCCATCCATGTTGGGGTTTTGTCTAATTTGTTTGTAGTCACGGTTGCTGTAAGTTCATGTGTGCAATGGCCTGTCATATCCAGCAAATAATGTTTCACTGTAGACATTCACTCCTTCTGTCTTTTACAATCTTACTGTACCTTTATCTGTGATGATCCCTGGGCCTATTTAGGGGACGATGACCTTGGACATCTTAAATTCCCACTGCCATCTTCTGATATCTTTCTGCTTCCATCATCTAAGTGCTGGGATAACAGGTGTGTGCCACCAAACCTGGTATGAACTGTAGTAGGGCTTGAACTTAGGGTCTCATGCTTGCTAGTCAAGTACTCTATCCATTGAGCCATGTTACCGGTGTACTTTTTCCCAAGTTCCATTTCTTTATTGAACATATGTATTCTTTCCACATTAAGTTTCTGACACATCCATAGTCCTCTCAGACCTTTATCCAGTAGTAAAACTCAATGATGTTTAATAACTGTGACTTTCCCTTCTAGTCTTCAGTTGGGATTCTGGTGGCTGCTCTTGAGGGAATGACTTGATTTCTGGGGATGTAACAACAGTCCCTGGAATGAGTCTTGTTACTGGGGACATGATTCTGTTTCTTCTGTGCTGTTATACCTCAAGACTGGGTTCACCCTACAATATATTTAATAAGTTCTTTGTGTGTATATGTGTGTTTTTTTGTTTATTTGTTTTCTTCCAATTTTAGGTTACTACACTTGTAAATTGCCCACAGAATCCTTCCAACAGGAAAAAGGGACGGTCAAAGAGAGCCAGAGTTCTCCTGGCTTCTGTGGAGGAAGCAACTTGGAATCTGTTAGACAAGGGGGAGAAGATAGCCAAGGAAGCAACAGCTTTAAAAGAAGAGCTAACAGCTGCACTCCAGGAAGTTCGCAAAGAGAGTGAGTACCCAGTCCCCAGTCAGGAGCATACTGCATATCCTCAGGGTGTTAGTTATTGCAGTAGATGTGTGAGTGTTCTGTTTTGCAGGTTTGAGTTTATTAGTCTTGCACACAGCTGTGAAGTGTGAGCTGTGGGAGGCAGAGTGACTCATTAGGCAGCTCCAAGGTGGATTCCCAGTCCTGGCTCTTATCTGGCTATTGAGTCTCTGAATACAGCTCCCACCTCCAACCATACTGCATGCAGCTTCTCTGTGACAAACAGAGAGGTTTAATGAAGTGGGAGATGCCTTTGCATATACAATGAATTATAAAGCTCTTTATAAACAGTTGAGAGATATTTCCTTTCTGATGGGCTCAGAAATATGTTTTCTGCTTTTCAGTGTTGGAAGCTCTTTTTTTTTTTTGGTAAGACTTTATGTAAACCATACATATTTCATGCTGTGCTTTGCTCACATTATACAATAAAAGCATATATTCTACCTTTTGATAAGATAACACAGCAATCAGAGTTCCCTCTGAAGATTACAAGTCTCATCTGCAGGATATTTGAGACAATATTTAAAAAATTTAATTTGTGCTAATGGGGGTACATTTGTTCAGTTGCTCTTGTCTATGCAGGTGTCTATCTATCTGCCTACCTATCTACCATCTATTTATTTATTTTCAGATAGGGTCTTTCATTGAATCTGGACCTTGCAGTTTTGGCTGGCTGCCCATCAAGCCCATGGGAACTGCCTGTCTCAGCCTTCTGTGCTAGGGTTATAAATAGGCACTGCCACACCCACAGTGTTTTTTTCTCTTTTCACATGGGTGCTAGGGATCTGAACTCAAGTTTCTAGGCTTGCTCAGAAACTATTATATCCATGGATCCATCTCCTAGTCCTACAATTTATCTTTAAAAGAACTATTTGATTATTTTATGCTTATCACTTTGCTGCAACTATTTTGGGAGGGAAAATGAAGTTGAACTTTTTTTGTTTAAATATTTTTATCCCCTGAACCCTAGTACAACTTGAAGAAAATCAGAAAGAACCAGGTACTGTGATCTCAGTACTCAGTTGAAGGTTGGCAAATTCTCAGCCAGCCTGAACTATCTCATGGACCTAACCCCCTCTCTGTGTGTGTGTATGTGAATATTTCTTAATCAATAAACATACTGGCCACATACAGGATACAGGGGTTAATGTTGTAATTAATGCTTAATGTTGCAATTTTTGGTTTTATACCTCTTAAAGTCAATTCTATTGTGTAGACTTGAGGTACATAGCATTGTGTTATGGGGTCCATGTTGCAAAACGGTTTCTACAGTGGAGGACATGGATGTAGCTCTTCCCTCACATGTCTCACTTTTTGGTGACAAAACAGCTTAATGCACTGGTTCAGAAAGGTTTCTTACTGGGATTTACTGCAGCCCCACTGAACATTAGAGCTTCAGTTCCACTCTCCTCCCTCTCTGACACCTTATGCCCTTTGACCCCTCCCTCATCTCCTCACTGCCCTTGTATTTTCACCCTTTCCTGGTAATTACTACATTTGAATTTTATCTCCTTTTTCTTTTAAAATTATTATTTTTAAACTAGTTATTATCATATGTGCATGTAGAGTGTGTGTTTGTGTGTGCACGCAGCATGTGGGAGTTGTTTTGGACAACTTTCCGGAGTTGTTTCTTGTCTTCCACCATGGGATCTGGGACTCTAACTCAGGTGCAGGTTTGCAGGGCAACCCATTTTTACCTGCTGAACCATCTTACTGGAATTCTGAGTCTGGCTAATTCCACTTAGCATAACACCCTCCATTTTTAGATTGTGGCAAGTGGCAGAACCTCTTCTTTTAAAACAAAGACTAGTTGAGGTCATATGTCATATATTGTAGTTTCTTTAAATACCCATCTATCAGTGAAAAAGAAATTCTCAGATACTTCAGGGTTCTAGGATTGTGCAGTAAATGGTTTTCTACTATAACATGATATATATATATATATATATATATATATATATGTGTATGTGTGTGTGTGTGTGTGTGTCGTATATGGCACACACAACAGATACACTTGTTGAAGTGCTTTACCAGCACTTTAGCGTGGGAGGAAAGCATATAGTAGCACATGTTTCTGGAATCCAAGGAATGCCCACTGTATGGAGAACAGAGAGCCATAGTGAACACATTGTGCACCCAACTTGGAAGGAATGTTAGCTGAGTGGTGGGGCTGAAACAGAAGATTGTGCTCTGATCTAACTGACTTTGTGTGATGCCAGAGACATACTTTAAATAGTCTCTGTCCTTTTCTTATTGAACGTCCCTTATCTAGTGGTATGTGAAGGTCTAACAAAAAACAACTAGTAAGTGTGAGGTATTTGGAAAAGTGTAAAAAGCATTGGAAGTGGAAGGTAGTTTTATTGATGTTGTTATTGACTTATTTTCAAGAAGACCCTTGAAAGTAGTCCATAAAATTCTAACAGAGACCTAGAATAGTTTTAGCTTTATTATGAGATTCTGCCCTTTTCTGTTGTACTGCCTTTAGTGGCAGTGATAAAAAAATGAGAATGTTTGTGTTCCTAAAGAAATGTGCCTTCAGAAGGTGGAACATGGATAACACAAGGAGTAGATGATGAAAGGAAAGGTGATACATGGATAGAAGGCAGAGATCCAGCAACAGGACCCATGTTGTAGAGACTCCTTACAGTTACTCTTCATCTTGCAGTACATCATATACTAGTACACCTGGATGCAAGCAAGGAATTAAATCTGAAATTTTATTCAAATAGTTTCAGATTATTTACAAAACCACACAGATACTAGCTAAGAACTATTTAAGTATATAGATTATATGTTTTACCTATAGTGTGTGTACTCCCTTTGAATACCACTACTTCTCTGTAATCTGCAGATCTTACTTCTAAGACACATGAAGCTACACACTCTATTATGACCTACTCAATAAAATTCACATATTGCCCTCACATTCATGTAACTCCATGCAGATCAAGAACTAAAACATTATTAAAGGCTGGGGGTGTGGTGGCACATGCCCTTAATACCAGCACTCAGAGGTCAGAGGCAGAGGCACGTAAATTTGAGGCTAGCCTGGTTTACATTGTGAGTTCTGGGCCAGTCAAGCCTACATAGTGTTCTGTCTCAAAACAAACAAATGAACAAACATTTGGTGGTCAAGAGCACTGGATACTCTTATGGAGGACCCAGGTTCAAATCCTAGTACCAATACTACAGCTCACAACCATCTGCTACTATAGTCTAAGGGGATTTGTGCCTTCTTCTGTCCTTTGTTGGTACTTCATTCATGTGGTACACACACACACACACACACACACAGAGAACATCTGAGAACAAAACAACAAACAAAGTAACATTCTAAAATCCCAGAAGCAGCCAGCGCCTGTGCCCCAATCAGTTACTAAATTCTCACTTCAAAGATATAAATTCTCACTTCAAAGGTAAGCATTATCCCAACTTCTACCACTATAGGTGCTTTAGCCTTTTTTTTTTTTTTTTAATCTGATGTGTGTGAGATTATGTAGCATGCTAAGTTTTAAGTTTGGCTTCTTTTACTTAACACATATCTCAATATATCTTTGAGATATCATTATATATAGTTTATTTTTTTCATTGATGAATAGAAAATGATTTACTTTTCCTTTACTTTTCCACCCTATTGCTGATGGACTTAATTGCTTCAGCTTTTGGTTTTAATGGACATTATTGGTATGTATGCATATGTACATTAATTTTGGTTCATAACTATAAACAGGAATAAATCATTAGCATATGATTAGCTTTAGCAGATATTGTTTTCTTTTCAAGACAGGGTTTCTCTGGGTAATAGCCCTGGCTTCCCAGTGATAGTGCTAATTTTTGAACTGGGTTTTCCTGTTGACATTTCTTAAGAACACTGTACATTTGCCTTGCATTCCACTGTCAGTGTTTTTAATGAAACATTTGCAAGTGTATTCCGGTCTCATTTTAACTTACATTTCTCTAACAACTTCTTATATGTTCTGGTATAAATCTTTTGCTAATTGTCAAGAATTAAAATGTCTCCTTCCTTCCATTATAGTAAACATTTTTTGATATTTTTATATTCTTAATTTTAATGAATCAAACTTTTTGGTTTGCCTCTTTATGTGTAGATTTTTTTTTGTGTCTGTCAAAAATTGTTTAAGATCACTGTAAACTAGAGAAGATACTCTCTAAAGTTACCATTTAGAGCATATTTACAATGGCCTTAGGGCCCTTGGTCATTTTAACTGCAATATCTGATTCATCTGGATCTTGTTTCTACTGACTGATTTTGCTTTATGTCATAGTAACATCTTCTTTTTGTCTGTGTGAATAGTGGTAGTATGTTGAGTCGACTGCAGAGATTCTGTATTCTCTAATCTTCCCCTGGAGACTGTTAAGTTTTGCTTCAGTGAATAGTTGATAACTAAGTAGTCACCAAAGGTTTTATTCAACCTTTTACAAAGGTTAAGTCTGTTAAATTTTCTCTTCAATCTTACAGAGGACTCTCAATCTTTGGGATATAGTCTTTGTGGCATTTCAAAGGCTTATTTGATATGTTCTCCAAACTTATTTAGCACAGAATCTTCTGTTCCCCCAAAGAGTACAATTAATGGAGTAGTACAGCCTTTTACAAATTTATTTATTTATATTTAAATTTTGTACTTATGGGGTCTTTGGGACTGCCCCAGGTCATGCTGTGGATTTTTTAAGGAAAATTCATATTTAGTTTCCTCTTCCATAATTTTTTTCAACCTTCAATTTTTACCTTCAGAAGAAAGGCCACATGATGTTATCTCTCATTATGAATCAGATTTTCTCTAGTTTCTGCTTGCTTTTCATTATCATGTGACTTCCATGGCTGTTTGATATATTTTGTCTGTTATCAGTGAAAGCAACAGTTCAACATGTTTTACTCCATCACTTTCAGCTCTAGAGGCAGCCACCCTCATTCTAATGTTTTAATTCCGTACATATAATTTTAA